ATTGGGTTTTTAAAAAACTCAAAGTATTAATGAAGTTTCTGTCTTCTATTTGGTAATGAATACCCAACATCCTTGCACTACTTTGGGTGTCATCTTCAGTTTAAAAAAAAATAAAAAAATTCCAAAGGCACTTCTTCTTTCAATTATTAATTTTATGAACATCTCATCTACATTTTTACAACATTAATGATTTCTGGAAATCTGTTTATAAGCTCAAAGGAACGGTTCGTATTCCGAGTCAACTTACTAGCCACTTTATTTACATTCTCAGTTAATTCATTCACTTTCCCTGTACAGAAGTCTGTCTTAAACATTTAACACTCTTGTCAGCCTTTTGACTACTGTTTAGACTTTAGAAGAATACTTTTGTATGATCATAGCTACTATTTTCAGTTCTATGACTTCCTTCAATGCAAGCTGAACAAAGCAGTAGCTATTGACTAGTGTAAGTTGTACACTTTGAACTATATCTGCTATCTGTCTTATCATACGGTCTATGAACTTGGTATCAGAGACAGTGAAACAGAGGCATTGGTTCCTGCATGAGAAAGTGAGATTGTTTTCCAACATATGTGCTAATATCTTTCACCCCTTTTGTAGCAATATCGAGGTTTTCCAAAATCTAAAACAAAACAAAAAATCAAACTGTTAGGGAGGAAAATTAAAATTTCAAATCATAATTTTGCTTTTTATTTGTTAACAAAATAAAGGTTCGAAAGAGACAAGTTTTGTATGTTGAATTATCCTGTCTGATTGTGTAGTATTATAGCTCTATTATCATCATCAAATGCTGTGCTTTGTAGCGTAGGTGATCATGTCCCGGTCTCAGGCACTTGTGATTACATCAGTCACCTTCTCTTTGTGTAGCCAAATTGTTAAACTGTCCAGGATCTTCTCTCGCTCTCTACTTCTTTTCTCCACAAATTTCCCAGATCTTACCAAGTGTTCCATCTCTCATCACATGACTAAAGAATGCTGCTTGTCTCTTTCGTACTTTTGTTATCAATGTTCTTTTTGTTTCTTCTTCGTTTGTTTGTCGGTCTTTGTAAAAAACTAAGCATTCTACGCACGAACCATATTTCGGTCGCATTAAGTGATTTTTCCATTTATAGCTCTATAAGCAAGTAAAAAATAAATTATTTAAACCAGATGTATCGTAACTCCATTATTTGACTTTAAAATATTTAACATATGCAAATAATAATGTAACTTCTAGAAGGTTTGTTTGGTTCGTCAGATGGAGCAACAGATGAGCCAATATCTAGCACCCCTGTTGTACCAATAATCATTTCAAGATGATTTTGACTGAGAGATTGAAGAACTGATAATAGTATAAAGAAACATTTCCGGCTATTGTGGGTGCACAAGCAAGTGTTACAACTTTGAAAGCTTTGGTTGGTTGGCTGTTGTTAGGCACAAAACTACATAATGGGATAGCTGTGCACTGCCAACCACGGGTGTCGAAACCTGATGTTTAATGTTTAGAAACATACCGCAGAGCAACTTGCTTTCCCTCGAATCTTCATAGCCGTCTTTCAGTTGCTACTAAATTTACTTTAATGTCACTGTAATGTTTTGGTTCTCTTTATATGACCGTAAAGCAGCTAATATTAAATCTTAGTTTATCACGTTTTGTGTTTAGTTGAAATACCTGTAATACAACTATTAAAAAACTCGTCAAATTAGAAATGTTTCCTCTTGATTATGACAAGTTATTGAATTTTCACAATTCAGTATATTAGATATGTTCACATGGACCATATGTTTCTCAAAGTTCTGTACCTCTGACGTTTATATGATAAAGTTTATTTGATTTTTATGAAGTTACAGTGCAAACAATGCAATTACAAAACTGACTAAAATTTACTTTATACCTACATACATACAAACATTTAGAAACATATGTATTACACTTTGTTGTACGCACATACATACGAACATTTAGAAATATACATAGTACACTTAGTTATACGTACGTACATACAGCCACTTAAAGATATACGTACGTACATACAGCCACTTAAAGATATACGTACATGTATACACTTACTAATATTTAGAAACATACGTATTACACTTAATATAGGATCAGCATCACATTTTGTCACATGCCTCAAGTGCCCGACGATGGTTGATAATTGATAATGTTTGTCTGTTCCTTAAGTTTAGTAACTCAATTATCCTAGTAAATAGCATTACTTTAAGCTGTTCCATGAAATTGTATAACACTAGCTATTCTACTAAATGGTTTAACACTAAACTATCCTAGTAAAGAGTATCACACTGAGCTATCCTACTAAATAGTTTAACACTAAGCTATCCTAGTAAAGAGTATTACACTGAGCTATCCTAGTAAATAGTATAACAATAAGCTATACCAGTAAAGAGTATTACACTGAGCAATCTTAATAAATACTATAACACTGAGCTATCTCAGTAAAGAGTATTATACTGAGCTATCTTAATAAATCGTATTACAATGAGCTATCCTAGTAAATAGCATTACTCTAAGCTATCCCATTAAATTGTTTAACACTAAGCTATCCCAGTAAAGAATAGTATTACACTGAGCTATCACATCAAATATCATCACATTAAGCTATACCACTAAATGGTATCACACTAATTTATCCAAATAGACACTATCTCACTAAATTATCACAATAAATAGTGTTATACTAAACCATCCCACTAAATAGTATCTAGTATTAAACTAAATTATCCCAGAAAATGGTATTACATTAATTTATCACACTAAATAGTAGCACACTAAACTATTCTAGGCACACAGAGTAGTAGAATATTAACAAACAAAAATAGGATGAATTAAACCAAATTGTGATTAAATAGTTATTTATATTGTTATATGTTAATATTGGTCTGTGCTGTTATGTAGAGATGATGCAATTGCCATCCCTACTATCTTGTTTGCATGTTCATTTTGAAGGATTGATATTAGCCGTCCCTACCTTTACTTCCTTTTTTGAAATGTTTTTTCTTTACTTATTTGCTTGTTTTTATAATGCAGTGTTTAAATAGACATAGGAAGGTTGTACTTATAACCAAGTTCTAAACACAATGAGATTACAACTGTAATATTTATTGTTTATCTATCATTATTAGCCGGTAATTCCTGTTTCACCCTGTTCTTAAGTTTTTTTAAAGAAACAGCACATTTCTGTTAGAAAGATAACTTCAAGGGGTAATGATAACATCGTTTGTGATTGTTTTTTAATTACTAGTAGTTTGTAAGACTTATAAAAGCGGATACTCCGCTTGAAACTATGTCACTTCAGTGAATTTGGTTGACGCTATTGTTTTGGTTTTTACATTACCATGTAATAAAAAAGAAGAAGAAAGAAAGAAGAACAAGAAATTCAAACTTTTTGCTATGATATTTACAGACATTTCCGAAACTTGAGACTCAGTTATTACATAGATATTGTTATAAAAGAAAACGCTGTATAGTATTGTAAAGTTCTAATGACCTATTGAGGAGATATTTAAAATACCATTTCGATGAACAATCTGATCCATCCCTACACAGGCAGTACTACCGCCTGCCTGATTAAACTATCTCACTAAATAGTATCTCATTAAACCTATCCTAGTAAATAGTATTATACTAAACTATCCTCGTAAATAGCATTATACTAAGCTATTCAAATAAATAGCAATTAAACTAAGCTATCCAAGTAAATAACAATTATACTAAGCTATTCAAGTAAATAGCATTATAATAAGCTATTCAAGTAAAAGTATTCTTTAAGTTATCCAAGTAAATAGTATCCCTTTAATCTATATAAGTAAATAGTATCCCATTAAGCTATCCAAATAAATAGTATCCTATTAAGCTACCCAAGTAAATAGTATCCTACTAAGCTATCCAAATAACTAGTATCCCATTAAGCTATCCAAGGAAATAGTATCCCATTAAAATTCGATGACGAGGAACCCACTTTGAGACTAATAATGGCTGGAGACGGCTTGAATGGGTAATGAAGAAAAACTTTAATATAAGTTTAACATAACAGCAAATGTACAACGTTTCGACAAGGTTTTGTCATCGTCAGGTACATTTGCTGTTATGTTAAACTTATATTAAAGTTTTTCTTCATTACCCATTCAAGCCGTCTCCAGCCATTATTAGTATCCCATTAAACTATCCCAGTAGATACTATCTCATTAAATTATCACACTAAATACTATTATACTAAGCTATCGACGTAAATAGTATCTCATCAAGCTATCCCAATATATATTATCTCACTAAATTATCACAGAAAATACTATTATACTAAGCTATCGACGTAAATAGTATCTCACCAAGCTATCCCAATAGATACTATCTCACTAAATTATCACAGAAAATAGTATTATACCAAGTTATCCTACTGTATTTGTTTTGTTGTTGTTTTATTTTGCTTCGTGATTTCTTTGTCTTATCTGAATGCGCATGTTTCCAGTTTTTTGTGAAAGGGTTTTCCCGTCTTATTTTGTTATTCTGTGATTTTAAGACATAACTCAAAATATAATTTCTACTCAAAAAGACACATGGCGGATAATAGGCTTGTTTACTTATTTTAAGAATATAATCATCAATATTTTTTTCTAAGACTTTTAAGATAGTTTAATTAGTAGAAATATTAGGGTGGCTTTATTTCAATTTATTTATACTTTAAGAAATTTAAGAGTAACTGCCTTCCCACAACTAGTTATAGACAGTGAAAGGCAGTAGAAGCTGAGACGTTGTGGGTGTAAGCACTCAGCTTGTACCCTATTTGATTGATGATTTTTTTTCCATGACTGCTGACTAGATTGACATCGGTGTTTGGATATTATCTGATAGATGGGATATTCCCAACGAATTTAGGTGCTATTACCACAGACATTATCCGTTATGACAATAAGTTGACAACCAGGATAGATAAAAGTATGGTGATATATATATATATATATATACATGTATATATATCTACAGGTTTTCTCTCACCATCCAGGCCAACACATGGATATGAATTCCAGTTTCTATGAAATAAAAAGGTGAGGAATGACTCTTAAATCATAAAAAGGACAAAAACTGAACTTGTGGCCAAAGAAAAAAGAAAAATGGATGTCGAAACTAATTTATCAACAAAAGTAAACAATAAACCATGAGGAAAAGAACTGGACAGGAAAACAGCAACTCACACTTCAAAACCAATATCCAGGGTTTTTTGAACATCCGATAAGTTAGTGCACCTATCTTTATCAGTAGGTAAGGTGTATGAGGTGCATGCTAAGAACATGTCAAAATCTTACCTAGGCGAAACTGGAAGAAGTACATATTCAATATGAAAATGACTTTCCTTAGCAATGTAAAAATAATTTTATCAAATCACAGCGTCATTGCTTAACACTGTGTACAGCAGCGTTTCTAAATCAGTGGGTCGTCAGAATGTGTGAAAGGGCCGCGAAAGACTGAAGTTTATTTACTTATATAGAAAATAATTTAGTAAGCTAAATATTTTTACGTTAAAGCTATTTATTGGGTCACAATTGACCATCAATGTTTATAAATGAGTTCTGATAAGAAACATATTGAGAGTCACTGCTGTAGAACATGGAGTATGCGCACCAAATATCAAAAATGTGTCAGTTTATTCCTTAGAGAATATACTCTAGAGTGCATACATCGATATTTTCCATTATGGCAGAAAATTGGTGTTCAGAGCGAACTTTGAAGTTTATACTATACTTCATTTTCTGTAGAATTGTTTAGTTGGTTCAATGGAATATTTGTCAAACTTTCTTCCAACTTATGATTATCTTGAGTATGTATAGTAAATTTAATTAATGTTTAACATTTATTGAAAGATTTAATGAAATTAAACAAATAATAAAATCTTCTGTTTATTGTAAAAAGTTGAAAGGCTGTTAGAGTATCAAGAAATTTTATATTTGTTGCTTCCAAATACATTTCTTGTTAGTTTTTTATTGATGATTCCTACGTTTTCATCAAACAAAATTCATATATGGAGTTACATCTTCAGAGATTAGCCAAAGAGATTACAGAGGATGATAAATTACCCGAAAGAACACCATAATCTGTTGAACAATGGTAAAAACTTTACAGATTATGGCGGAATTAATAGTATAATGACAAAATCTGACCTAGATTATAACTGTATCATGAAGTTAAGAAGACAAAATTAAAAATATATTCATTGATCAATTATAAATGGTGTATTTTTATATATCACTATTAAGTTATGTTTTATTTTGAATACGTTTAACTTGTAACTACTGACTGTTATTTTCAAAATTTGATTTAATCTTTCTAAGTTGGTTACTATGTTGTATTGTAACAATCGAAGCCAAATCTAAACATATTTAATCGGCTTTTTTAGGGCCACATCGTCGAATAAGCAGATTCGTATCTTAAGACAAATGGTTCACGTATTCAAATGTAACATTTTATATTAAGTCTGACGAAAGCCTCCGTTGGTCAGTTAATGATTTCAATGACATAAGTTGTCTAATACAATTGTATTAGAAATTCCGTTGAAAGTCCTCCACGTAAATATAGACCGACCAATTTGCTTATTTCATAAGAGAAAAGTATTGGAGTAGTTGAAGGAAAGTTTTTAGGATTTTGCAAATAATTTACTCTCACTATTTCAAAGTGCTAAACCATAGAGAAACTTTAGTATTTTGAGAATTCTAACAAGACCTTAATGATTCGCCTAACGAAAACGGCCTCATTAGAAGAATAAGTAATACATAGAAAACAAATTAATGGAAACGTATTATCCAGAAAATATATTTCAATAAATATTCCTATCTCTAACGAACCACTTATTATGTAGAATATGCAACGCCTTTGAGTCTCGTGCAACTACGTGTTTCTTTTACCTTTACTAAGGTGTATTATCTAGTTTATGACTACGAACAGCTAACTTATTTCAAAGTCCGATTCAAGGTATCTTCTTCAGAATCTTCTACCAAAAACGGTTGGACCTTTGGAATGACATTTTTTTCCTCATCCGGAATGGTAATAATTATCTTTTCAGTGTTTTCCATATCTTTAAGAGTTAGTTGGCTCCCTCTTTTATTCAAGTTTGTTCCTTCAGGTGTCGCAAGATTTCCCGAAACTTCGCGTACTTTCCTCGGCTCCACTATCGAATCACCTACGGTAGCATTTAAACGGCGCTGCTCTTTAAATGTCATCATTTCATTATACACAGGTATAATTATGATGAACAAAGCTGCCAGAAAAGCCCATGCTTGTGAAATCCTGACCCAATTGCGAAAAGAGGAGTGGTTCTGAACATTTGCAGCCACCATTCCAGCAGGCCAGATGATAATCAACACTAGGGTTAAAACTAGAGCGCCAATGTTTGCTATCCATTTAGCACTACGAAACGTTTTTTCTACCTCTTCTAACGTTGGCCTGTTTCCAAGTTTGTTAGCACCAGTTACATTAAGTTCTCTGAAAAATGTGAATAAAATGTCTTAAGAACAATAATTACGTAAGAACAATAATTACTGAGAATATTGAGATAAATTTATCTTGGTACTTTTTACTTCAGTAATAAACATAATTAATAATTGCATTACAATTTCTACCACATATATATATATTCAACTCACCGGGAATTTTAGAACTCAGAATATCTCTGTACGCATCAAGATTTATGAATATACTCTCCTTGCCTTAATGCCTGTACTAACTAGCTATTGGGATTTCATTAGACTTAAATCCGAAATTTGGATAGATATCTAATTATGGTATTTACAGTCATGCAAATATAATTCGTAAGTGTGTAGAATTCTTTAAAACTATACTTAATGGTGGACGAAGTTTTTCCTTACACAGCATTAATAGTAATTTGATAAGTTCTTTTCTTCGATCTTTCTTTTAGTAATTATAGGTATAAGTGGCTATAAGTTACATCTTTTTAAAGAAATATTAACACAATGTTACTATAACTCGATATTAATATTTTAGACATATAGAAATTTACTCTTTTTGAAACTCACCTAAAAGAATGGCCTGGCATGGCCAGGTGGTTAGGGCGCTCGACTCGAAGTCTGCGGGTCGCGGGTTCGAATCCCCGTCCCACCAAACATGCTCGCCATTTCAGCCGTGGGGGCGTTGTAATGTGACGGTCAATCCTACTATTCGTTGGTAAAAGAGTAGCCCAAGAGTTGGGGGTGGGTGGTGATGACTAGCTGTCTTCCCTTTAGTTTTACCCTGCTAAATTAGGGACGGCTAGCGCAAATAGCCCTCGCGTAGCTTTGCGCGATTTCCATAACAAACAAACTTAAAAGAACTCTGATCACTCCCAGTTTTCCTACATGTTCTCTTTTATTTCCCAAACTGACAACAGGTATCACGTTTGGTATCATCACAGTAACCTTACAGCAATTGTTTCTGATTCTATTTCAGCTTACCAGAACAATACCAACGACCAATTATCAGAGAACAATGAAACATCACCCTAATAATTACGAGGAAAATCTCTGGCTAAATTGCAGTATACCAGAATATTATACACCTCATTTCTTTACAGGAGGAAATCCTGCAAGATGTCTGTAGTTGATGGTAGTTTCACTTCCATTACGTCTATATTTTTCGATAAAATAGTTATTCAACTAATACTATTTTATCAACTATGACAAGACATGAATTACTTAAAACTTCTTGGAATTGTATACCGTCTTCAAAACCTCTTTCAGGACCAATTTATTTCCACTGTTCTGCAGGGCTCCAGCTAAACAGGCCGCTGCCGTGTCTATCCATCTACTTTATGAAATCTGATATCGGTAAACATGTCTTTCCACACTTTTATGAAATCATAAATTGCGGATCTTTTAAGCACCATCGAATTTTTTTACTTATCAATTATAGATTAACTATAGCAATTTCTATTTATAAAGTTTCCAAATGATGGATTGCTTGACTGAAACGACAAAAGACATTGAAAATTATGTTCTATAACATCATATGCGCGAACAAGAGGTAACAGGGGTATTAAAGAGTTCTGAAGCCTTGTAGCCTGGTGAGATTGTGGGTATTGATATAAAATGATCTTATCCCAAATCAACTGGTTGTGACAGACTATCTAAGTAAACGGAATGAACGGTACCCGTTAAGACAAATTAACACAAACTGTTGCAAAGAAGTTTGTAAATCAGCAATTTTACGGATATGACATTCTCAAGACTTGGACTCATCTAATCGCAGTAATGTGTCAAGCAAATGAAACTAATAATGTTTTTATTGTCCCTTATCATCCTCAGTCGAACATAAAAGAAATAATGAGCTGGAACATTGGGAAGATGTATCCGCATATGTTCATGAAAATAACAAAATTTGGAATCTTAATTTTCCGACTTTTTGTATTAGATTTCTCATTAATATTTGAACAGGTTTTACAACAGCCAACCTAAATTTGGAACACGAAATCAAGCTGTCTTAGAATCGCAAGACAAAATACGTAACAAATCCATAGACTGTTGAAGAACACACTGTGGAACTATAAAATGTTATGCAGAAAGCAAGACAGAATGTAGAAGTAGCCAAGAAGCGACAGATACAAGCCTACAGGGTTGAGTGCGCTATCTTAAAACGATTTTGAACATTCAAATCGGCAAGTCATGTGAAATCGGATTTAAAATCGATGTGGAACGGAATTTATCAGAAGTACATTTTACATTGTTTGAAATTCATAAGTAGTGTGATTTAACCGAAAGTAGATCGCTTTTGGGGAAGAGTACGTAACAGCCCTATACAACAAAATATATTCTCACAGTATGATCATAAAGACGTTTTCAGATCGGGAATTTAAAATTACTAAGATGGAGAAATCCATTGTACTTAATGGCATTGCAAAACAAAGGAATATGCATGAACTCGAGGCTCCAGGACTAGTCAGAAAGAGATCTACAACAAGCCGTACTCAAGTCATGTTAAACAATATTTGGCGTCTTGTAACAGATGATGATTTAATGAACACAAAGGTTAGTGTCACAACCCGTCCACATGCTCCAAGCAACAATACACAACATAATCAAGAAAGATCTACATCTGAAAATGAGGCCAAGAAGACCAAGGTTCCAGTAATACCTTCCAATCAATCGTCACATACCTGAAGCAGCTACAAAATGAAATGGGTATTTATGCTATTCTGTATAAACCATACCGGTCAAGTCACAGCCTATGAATGTAAGGGCTGTTGAAAACGTGTGGTGGGAAATCGTTATTTTCGTACACTAGATGGACTATCTTCAGGGAAAGTTTTTCAACGGAAACTACGCTGCAAGGCTATTGCCAAGATGTATGGTTGTGTCAGATAGAGCATGACTGGACGTGGTGACATATGTTTAAACAATATGGTGAGGCTCCAAAATCGTTTTCATATAACATGCCCGACATTCTGTATAATCACAGAAGACGGTCAGTTGTGTTTCAGATAAATGCCATGATTTTATTAAAATCTCCAAGGTTAAACATTTTACTGTTAAATTTGCTCCAAAATTGACACGACCTTAAGAAGTTATAAAATGTATAGCACCATTAGTGTGGGAACTAAAAGATTCTAAAAGTGGGATTATAAACGATAAATATCATGCACCAAATTTAAAGAAATGTGGTTTTTCTCGTGAGCCTCAGCATTCTGTCGCCCATGCTGGTGAGAGGGCTTCAGGTGCTGCAACAGTTGCTGTCAATACTCCATCAAAAGTGAGCCAAAGAGTTCCACGAAAACCTTAACTACAGACTCCTTGCGGGACTTCCTCCTGTAAATAAGAGAGGTTTATAATGTTATTGTAAGCTGAACCAGAGCTAAAACTCTTCCCGGAAAAGTTGTGTTGTTTCATTGTATTATTTATCGTTCGTATTGTCCTAATAAGCTGAACCAGAGTCAGAATCAGTTGTTTTAAGGTTATTATGATAATACCTAGTGTTAGACTGGTTAATAAAAGAACTTGTAGAAAAATTGGGACTGATACACAAAGTGATTAAATTCATCACTTCCTCAGAAAAAAAAGAAGGGCGATGTGACGTTGTATTCGTTAACTTTTTATTAATTATTTCTATATTCATATCTTATGGTTTTTTTCTTTATAATTTAGTTGAGCTCTCTTCTATTAGTTAGTTAATTTTTGCAGTGACACACCATGATTGACAGAGGGTGGTGCTGATCTAGTTATCACGAAAGCTATGGTAACACGTTCGTCAAATGTTAATTACGTGTTAAACTGTAATTTGTGATAGAAAAGTAAAGTATAAAAAATATTTAAAATACCATACATCGTGAGATTAGGTAATGACATATTTTTTGAATTACTTGATTAGTTATTGTGAGTTGTAATTAGATAATTGTGAGTGTTATTAAGCAGATTATTTTGGTGATAATTTAAGAAGTTAGTTTTTCTTTCTGGTTATTTTTTCGTAGCTTTGCTTGTGTCAAGCTTATAGTCTCTAGTCAAGGATATGTTGTGGAAAATTAAAACGTTTTTGGGATTTGCAAAAGTTTGGACTCCCTTTTATTCATGGATTGTGAAGATATTCTGTATTTTTGAAGATTTTGATAAATATTTGTTTCATTAAGAACTCTGGTAGTGACGTTCCAATTATTCTCAGCCAGAATAAAAGATACATTAAAATTTCAATAGTGGTAGTGCTTTCGCAACAATAATAGTTTTTTTTTTCGCCAGCAACGAACCTATTAAATGAAACAAAGCATCCAACTACGTTAATATAAGGATTATCAATATATAGAGAGAAATAAAAGAGAAAATCTAACGAAATTAAACAAATGAATTAATAAAAACTGATTATATCTTCTAAAAACTAACTTTTATATTCAGCTGTTTCTAGCGTTATTGGTCATTTAAATTTAATGAAACATTACTCGTAAATTAGCCTTACTTAAAACAAAAGAAAAAAGGGTATTTAAATAGTTGGATATTTGTTTCCTTTATTAACAAGGTCGTTATTGGCCGAGATGCAAATAAACACATAATCTGGAATTCGCTAGCCCCTATTTTATCATATATTTTTCTAATAAGTCATTTGTACTATATAAATACAGTATGGCAACTTTAGAGTAACAATATATATATATATATATTTATATATAACGTTTATACCGTGCATATAGCTCAGTCCATGGGAAAAGTGGATTGTCAATGTCTCTCGTACTCTCCCAAATTTCACTCTTTCGGGACGAATCCATCCGAAAGTTTTGGATTATACTGACCACAATGGTTATTATTCCTCCGGATAAAATAGACACAACATTCCCCCACAACATACTCTGCTCTTTTCCTAGATTCAAAGATATCTATAGTTATTAAAGTTCAATAGACTTCAAGCAGCTAGATTATGTCAGCTCTTACAGAAACTTAGTTATCAATAACAAACGTGCTACGAAACAATGGTAAAATTCCTAATTACATTCCAAAGAAAATAGCCATCATTCCCCAGCGAAATATTCATCAATACAGATCTAATATTTTCTTATACAGTCGAACTACATTATACACTATATTTGAAATTATAGACTTTGGTTATCATTTTATCCATAGCTCAAAACATTCTGGGATTTTCTGATTTCATTTTATGTCTATTCAATTTAGCTCCCCATTCTATGGACTTCTAATGTTAAAAATTGGGTTTTGATACCCGTGGGGACACAACATAGGTAGCCCATTGTATAGTTTTGTGCTTGACAACAAACAAATAAAATATATAATTTAATTTGTAAAACATTAAAAAGTTTTAAAATTTCTACTATATAACATGTAGATAATTCAACATACCGGTGTTTTCCAAAAAAGAAATGGAACTCAGTCCCCCATCATATTGAGAAGCTATAGACATCCATGTTGTTAGGCCTACAACAGAGCCTCCTATCGCTCCAGACATCATGGCGGCGCCTGTTAGTCTTTCAGAAAATACACATAGACTGATGGGAATTACAGCAGATCCAATAAGGACGCCCATGAAAAGATAAAGCCAGCCCAAGCTGATCTGAAACGAAGAAGAAAAGAAATCAATTCTTAATGAAACACCAAAACGTAAAAACATAGTTTGATAAATAACGCAAATGCTTTCAGAACATTCATTGAAATCGCTTGGGTTATCATGCTCCTGATTAGTGCAGATTTACAACACTAGAAACCGGGTTTCGATACCCGTGGTGGGCAGAGCACAGATAGCCCATTGTGTAGCTTTGTGCTTAATTACAAATAAACAAACAAATCTTATTTTATGATTTATCTAAGTTTTTACTCTACATTATTTTTCAATAAAGTTATTTATTGAAAAATAACGACATGAGGTTAAAGGTTATATAACAAAAAATTTGCCTATATATATTATTTTGTTTAAAATATTATTACTAATAAGAACAACTTCTGAAGGTGAAGTACGTTATATCAAAACGTTTTTGAAAAAAAGAATCAGTAAGTCACGTGACAACCATATCCGATATAAAGTCTTGGTGGAACAGCATGTATCAGATTTACATTTTGACATTATTTGGCATTACTTAGGTAGTGTGATGCCACCGAAAATTAGTTGTATTGCGAAAGGTGTGTAACAGCCTTTTCTGAGGCACAGTATTCATTCATTCAGATCATAAAGATGTGTTTAGGTCAAAGATCTAGAATTTCCAAGCTGCGGATATATTTTATAATTAATAACATGGAAAAACAAAGGAACATGGATATGAACTTGTGGCACCATAACAAATCAAAAAGAGACCTTCAACAAGTATTTACGCTGCCGTGGTAAGTAAAGTCCGGCGTCTTGTAACAGGTGAGAACCTATCAATACAAAGTTTTGCGGCAAAAGACGTTCACGTGGCTCTGACAACAGTACGAAATATAAGCAAGATGGATCCGCGTCTGGAAAAGCAACAAAAGCAAAATGTACGCAAGTTGTTTACACGATATATTCGTTCAACCGTCGCATATCTCAAACAGCTGGAAAATGAAATTGGTCAAGTCGCAGATGCAGTGCCTATTTATTTCTGAACGATCGGAATGTTGAAACAGGAGCTGAGAAACCATTGTTCTCATACTCTATATGGATTATGAAAAGCATGTAGGAATAAAAGGTGTGTTTTGAAAATAACAGCCTTAGAACTGATGATTTTGCAACAGAAGCTACTCTGCAGGGCTATTGTCAAGATGCACGGTATTGAGATACATTATGGACTAGATCTGCCAACACAGACTGTAATGATTTGATGACGCTCCAAAATCTTTTAACATGAACTCAGCCTTTGCATTTTATTTTTCTTATCTACGTTTGTTGTTTATGTTTTATTCGCTAACTTCCTGGGTACTTAAATTGCATTCTGGAAAGAATTCGGAACCGAACCTTTCAATGTTGTAGTAGACAACTTTACTTAATAATCACAGTTAAATACAACGGACCTTTTATAGCCAAGAGATTAGTATGTTTCACCCTGTTGTTTGATGCTCCAGTAATTACAGAACAAACCCAACGACATCTTATTTTGAAACAGTTGCTGGTTTAGGAGAATAGGTTTCACGAATTCACGGTGGAATGTAACTTATTATCAGTACGTTTATCCAAAATTTCCAAAACGTCGAAATAACGACAGAGTGCACGAGCTTTATACGAATCAAAGGGGATTTGGTGCACTAGCATTTGTTGCCGTTGTTCTAATAGATTACATACGTTGGGGAATAATGCTCTCATATAATTCCATTTATTTTTCTTACATGGCTAATCAAGATTATATTATCCTTAACATGTAACCATAGGCACTGAACACCATGTTTCATAGGTTACCAAACGTTCCAGTCAATCTCTTGTAGCCCGGAGATATGGCTGAGAGCTTACAACTTTCAAACTCGGATTTTAATACTTGCTGTGGGTACAGCAGAGATGTGTTAGCTTTATGTCTAATAATAAAATAAGCAAACAAACAATATCTTCTTCTAATGGTAAGAAGCGAAAAAAAAGGAAAACTATACTAGTGCCTTTATATTACATTATATTGGGTATGGCCAGTTACAGAAATTACTTTTGAAAGAAATAGTTACAAATATTATAAAAGCCATGTCTGTGAAGCTATCATTTTATTCTGGATCGAGTAATATAAATAATATTATGACTAAAATTCTTGAAAGTTTCACCTAAAGCTGCAAACTATTGCTTGAAGTACTACATGAAAATTGTAGTGTTCTATGATACTCTGCACCTTTTGAAAACGTTGTCAAAATATTAAATTTATGATTTCTTAGTTAAAGGAAAAGTTGTAAAAAAGAAAGAAAGAAAGAGAGTGCTTTTTCATTTCAGTTGGATAACAGTATCCATATCAAGCTTTGTGCTTAAAATGTAATTACAAAAAAATGGACTTCGAAAATGACAATAAAACAGCTAATTGATAGAAAATATGTAATTTTTATTTTCGCGGGATCACGGTTTAATTGTTTTAATTATCTATCATTAAGAGACGATAAAGTTTTCAAAAAATAATTGAAAATAGTGCTGCTTGAATTCTTTTTTCGACGTAGCAAAATCTTCCATTTAAGAACTTCAAGTGCCCGTACAACTCCACTGCGTAACAACACAGATTTGCTGTATCAATGTCTCTTAGATGTTTCTTAATGACCGAAATCAAATCCACAATTTTTTTACTTCTGTTTAACAATCAGCTGTGAAAAACCTGTAGTTAGACACCGAAATAAGAATGGTTATTATCAATCCACCTTTTTCTGAATTTCATTCTGTCTTTCAAACGCATAGTAGAAGTCTAATTATGAGGTGAAAGTTGATCAATTTCCTTAAACCGAATAATTAGATTAAAAATATTACATACATTAATAACATACGTTAGAAGTAAACAAATGAAGCTGCTAATAATGTCACTTAAGGAATGGTTATGAAGCTATCAGAGAAAGATAAAAGTCTGCTACTGGTTGGATTGCAATACAACCTAAGGTTGCTGCAGCCAAACCCTGATCATTAAACAATAGAAGGGTGCTTTTATTTTACAATAATGGTTTATTTCACTTCATATCCAGCGGACTTCCTTAGTCAGCTGGTCATACACACAGAATGATAGTTGGACATATACATTTGTTGATTTATTGCTTACTATAAAGAGCAAAAAGTGTTTCAGTTGGTTAATTTTAATATCGGATGCAATGTTAGGGAAAAAAAATTACAATATAACATTGCTAAATCTAAAATATCTAAAAATGGAATAAATGAATAGTTGAGATTTATGTGAACATTGTAGAAACATTTCAAATAATAAATTTATCATGGATGAACAACAATACTTTTAACTTTATAGAGTCAGTAAAGAAAAAGTTATGCTTGTAAACAATAGAAGCAAACAAAATATGAACTAAGTTACAGTTTAAACGCCGAAATCTATCGGCAATCAACCCGTTTATTTACTTTTCTTGTAATATATATATATGAGTAGCATTTTATAGATAACTTTTGTCTCTCATCATCCAGACCAAATGATGAGTTCTGGTATTTAACGAAAGGCTTCATATGGTTAACAAAAGACGGATCTCAAGTGCTATTTTTACACACCTTTGGTTTGAATTCGTAATGGCTAAATCAAGAAGAATATAAAAACATCCACAGTCTAACGTAGTTTTTATTGCGGATTTTAAGGCTGTTAAATTCCACTTCTTCCTCAAGCTTTCAGTGTTTGAAAACAACTTTTGTTTTCTGTTGCTGTGCAAAAAAGCCGACTGTCTGGGGATGAGACTTATGTTTACAAAAAATGATGTAAAACGTAAAACTAAGCGTACATAACATATTAATTAGACGAATACATTTTATAATTTTAGAAGTAACTTGTGTACTAGCAAGCTTTCTTTTATAAGGAGATTATGTTCATCATTGGCTAAGATTTTAAAATACGTTGAATGAACGACTACGTCAGATTCTTTTGTGTAAAAAAAAAAAGCAAATTTTAGTTCTCCGACTAGATTTAGTGTACTTGAACATGTACTAGGTTATTGTAACATAGTTGTCTATTAGACCCTATCAAAAGGCGATGATGAGCAGAATTGCCCTATAAAAGAGAACTTGCTCATTCATAAATTGAGGCCAAAAATTAACCAAGTAGACTCAGTAAGTAAGTTACTCCTCAATATTAAGCACATATGTTGAAAAACTTTGTAGCTCTTCTGGACACGATTGAAATATGTCTCCAATTGTTCGGTTATTTGTATTATTAATATTATACAAAAGATCTAATATATTAAAACCTACTATTATTGTACTATGTTCTGATACAATGTGTTTGATAGGAGATAAAGTTAAAAAACACCTACACCAGTAATGTTTAATGCAGCAGTCAAAGGGATTATGGCGAGGCTAGACAAAAGCATGCACCAATTCTTCAGGCCTCCTAGAATTTCGTAGTACTCTCGGAATTCTCCGTGTGTTCTACACTTGAACTTCGGCTTCACAGGTCTTTTGCTGTTGTTCCTGGACCTATAAAACACCTTGCATTATGATAACCGTAAGGCATTTGACACAAATAGATAAAATTTAACAAGGAATATTGCAGAAGATATAATTTACAAAAATAGGGTATTCATTTCAACAATAAAAAGTTAATCCTGAAAGTATCTCGAAACACAAGAGACTCAATATGATATTTCATCCCCTTTAATTCTATTCGCTTTCTTACTTCTTTTCACAACGATTACGGCACGTGTACAATTTGGTTACTTCTGTCAAGTTTACTCTGCCTTAGCACAGTAATAAGAAGTAACTGACATACTATGATATCAGTTACAGGCTTTATTTATCCTCTATTACTTTTAAAAAACCGTGATTAAAGAAAAATAAATTGAATTCCAGAATGTCATATTCATTCGCCAGCGCTATAGAAGACTCACCTGTCATCTTCTTTGCAAGGTTTGCAGAAAGTCATGCTTTCACAGATACACATATCTCGAGGATTGGCCCACCGTCCTCGCTGCTTTCCACACAGAATACAGCTATTCACGTCGGTGGTGGTACGGAAAGGCTGGAAGTATTTTTAAGATCAACAACACACTTTCATCTTTCACTCATTATACTTAGCAAAACAAATATATGTATAACTAAAATACATACAGTAACATTCACATGTCTCTTAGAGGTATGTACTGTAACAATCACTTGTTTTAATTTTTATGTGTTAACATTCACGCATACGTCTGTGTCTTCAATATTATAATATTCGCATTTGTCTTTAATATATACACGTATCTGAAGCAATAATCATTTGTGTCGTCAGTAGACGTAAAGTAATATTGATGTGTGTCTTCAATACATATATATCGCAACATTCACATATGCCTTTAATATATACAAAATTAAATTCACTTGTATCTTCAATATATACCACAAAATTCACCTGTCTACAATATACATACCGTAACAATCAATTGGGTCTTCAATATATACGCATATATTCACGTGTTCTTTAGTGTATATCCCGTAACGTTAACATTTCAATAATTGTACTGTAACAATCACTTGTGTCTTCAATGTATACCGTAAAATTCCCTTTTTTCAATGTGTACTGCAATATTCATATGTGATTTCAATATATGTAACGTAACATTCGCATGGGTATCAATATACATATATATATATATATATAACAATCACCTGTGCCTTCAGTATGATGCAACATACATGTGTCTTCAATACCACAACATTCACCCGTATCTTGATTATTTACACGACAACAATAACTTTTGTATTCAACATATATGCTATATTATCATTCACGCGTCTCCAATATGCATATCCCATAAGAACGACTGGTGTCTTCAGTATATAAATCGTAGCATTCACGTGTATCTTCAGTACATACACATATATGCTGTAACGAATTTGTTATTACATATTTATTTTAATATCGACGTTGTTTAGATCAAGTTTATATTTAAAAACATGCATATCTTATAGTATTAGATAT